AAAATAAATAGGGTCTGAAAGTGGGTAGTGTTCAGAGATACCGAAAACAGCTTTCTTAACATAGCTCTGATTCCATACTCTCCTAAACTGTTTTCACACAATGTGAACCAAACCGTGTGTCTTCTTCTGATTTGTCTGTTCCATGCAGCAAGCTTAAAGGAAGTGAGATCTGGCTGGTTTCAGCTGGACCATTTCCACAAGAAAAGCAGAATATCCCTGGGGGGAATAAAGCTGTGTTAATAAGCTCTTATTTCACTTGCCAAAGGTAACAGCAGAGAGTTGTCTAGAGAATTTCTAGGTTTAATCTTTTTTCACCTGTTATTGAAAGAGTGACATTGCAGCAGCTCTCAGACTGTATGAAAGAAAGACAGGCTTCAGACACCTAGGTTGTAAAAGAGCCACAACTAGTCCTGAAGGGCACTGCTTTACACTAAGCAATGGGAAATATTCAGCAGAGTATGTAGCCAGTTCCACTGTCATTTGCTGGACTGACTCTTGGTCTGCATTAAGGAAATGGAGTTTATGATACAGATTATGTCTCATGCTAAATGCAGTTGAATTCAGGGCTCAAAACTTGTGTCTTGTACAAAATTTGTCACAGACAAACAGTTCAACTGCTAACATTCATTAATTTTAACCCTCGTTTTGATTTATTACTCACAAAGCTTGGATCCATATAAAAACTAAATTCATATTATTATAACTCACCACTTCCCCAGAGACTATTATATGGCAGATGTCAGCAAAATCATGAATGGTACTGGCAACATGAGCAGGATGTCATTATTCAGCAATCACAGCACCAGAACAGAGAACAGTTAAACACAATTCAGTGGTATCTTTCACCCTGTGCGCAGTTAAATAGTGGAGAACCTTAAACAAAGCATTATTAACATTGAAACACAATTCAAACAAGAATTTACAGCACCATGAAAAGCTATTAAACATGTTAGGCTCCATGCAGCCTCCTGCTTATCAAATTCCTGTGCCACTGAAAACTATGAAGGTGTTCCTGGAGGGAGTTTGCCTAGAAATACCCTAACCAGCATACTTCTTCCTAATGCTTTCCCTCTGTTCTACTACATAAGGACCAAGGGAACAATTTAGATTTTAAGTTCCAAAACAGATTAATATATGAGATCAAAATATTAAAAAATTTGGAAACCCAGTATGTCAGAAGTTACAGTAATTAAGAATCAGTTGATTCTGAAGCACTACTTCTGTACGAAGAGAATCAAGCCTATTTGAAAAGATAATGACAAATGTTTGGACCTGCACATCCTGGCTTTTTTGTGTATATCACAATATACCAGCTGAAAAAAGTGACTACACAATCGCCATAAAATCATAGTTTTCAATATGAGTAGAGAAAATCAGGAAAACACATTCTAAAAGAGTGTGTTTTTTTAAAAAGAGGCTTTTGTAACAGCTGGCTCTTTTGCTGAAGTAAATTTTTCAACTCCCACAACAGACATACTGGGTTGCAACTCATTTTTCAGCATTCCATCAAATTTGGTTTTTGTACCATGTCTTGAAATGAAATCTGTTTTTTCTGTCAGTGATATCACATCAGGGAAATATGAGCAGAAGCATTGGTAAAGACAGTAGTTCAAACAGATGTCATTAGTGTTCAGTTGTTTCAGATATTCTGACATGACAAAGCAGTATAGTCCCTTCGGTCTGAACCACAGATCTGAACCAGGCAGATATGGTTCTGTCCAACACTACTAATTCCATGAGCCAAACCACCTTGGAAATGTCTGTGGTTCACATCAGCTGCAGTATTTCACTGGCAGAGTGATCAAGACCAGACCTTGTCCTCTTATAGCAGCTTTTGCTGCTACTCTAGGGGTATATGAATATGGTTGCTTCAGAGAGTTTGCCAAGGGAATGATAAAATTATGAAAGTTGCTTTAGTTTCTCATGTACAAATGAGCAGGAATGACAAATAGCAGATCCTTGAAGAGTTCCCCCAGAAATGAAATATGCACCAGTAAAAGCTATTTCTTCTGTCTGTAGCAGTAGAAAAATAAATCCTCTGGTTTTGAGCCTTTCTACTCATAAAACATTTTTCTCATTTCTTTGAAATGCTCCAGCTTTATGTTATTGTTACATTTGAAAATAATTTTCAGAACAGTTTTCTAAAAGTCCTTTTTTAAATAAAAATCTAAATTTACAACTAGCAGGGAAACAGTAGTCAGAAGTAAGGTCCTATATCATACACATATCTCCTGTCTAATTGTGGTTATGTGAGTTTACAGTATGGAAGTTGTGGACACTACAGAAATTTGTCGGTGATGTCATTTTCCTGCACTGAGAAGTACATAGAAGAATGCAAAAAAACTAAGGGGAAAACATATCCTTAACATATGACTTTCCTCTAGTGTTTTGAAGAAAACACTCTGGTCTGAACAGTTGATAATCAGACAAAAAAATTAAGTTTGAAGTGAAATAAATGTAACTGTATACAGTAATTATGCCATAAATTACATAAGTAAACAGAAAAATGAACCTGATCTCTCAAGGTCTCATACATGTGCTGGAAATTATGTATCAGAGTATTTTAAGAACAAATGATCAACAGTTTTAATAAGGCTGGGCATTTGAGGCAATTTTGACTTTGACTAAACAAAGTCAAAACTGGTAGGTTCTTGGAAACACCAGTGAATCTGAAGTAATCGTTTCATCTCGATGGGAGGGGAGTGTTTTCAGATCTCCCTTCTAATGGAGAAACTATTCCTGAAAAAGTATTTCTGGCTGATGGAAAGAATGCCTGCTGAAAAGAGGTTGAGTGAGTAGTTTAATGACTGAGCGGTTAGGGGTCTATTACAGTCAGTAAGGCATCTTGCTGTTCTGAGGTACTTCTCACTGATGCTGTTAAATTGTTCTGACCGGTGATTTTAATTACTTTTTTAATTATTGTTTTTAATTAAGTGCTGGCTTATGTGCTATCTGTCATTGGGACTGCACTCCTGAGTGGCAATCCTGGATTAAAAATGAGTGATTCCTGAAAGCCTGCTGCATAACAGCAGTTGTTGATAGTTTCAAAGGAAAATTAATTCATAGGTTTGTGTTTATTCATTTAAATTATATTTAATTTTATTGTTTTAAACAATAAAATGGAAAATGTCTATGAAAATAAGTATTTTTCTTTATGACACACTTCAACTACACCATTAGAGAGCTAGAAGAGGTATCACAAGTTCATCTAACCCTTCCAGACTACCTCAGGAAAAGCAGCACCACACATCTGCTATTCCTGACAGATCCTTGTCCAGCCAGCCCACTGATGACCTGCAACAGACACAAATGTGCCTCTTCCACTGCTTCACCAAAGCCTTCATAATGGCTACTCTAGATATCCTTCCTGTTCAACTCCATTACGTCTACACGTCCAATTCATCCAAGGAGAACAGAGTATATCATCTTTATCTTTGTGAGCACCCTTTTATGTGTCTGAAGACTATCACAATGCTCACTCCCACTGTAGCTATACCACTCTGTGTTTTCTTCCTGGACCCTGACTTCAAAACCCCACCCTTGCTATTCTCCATTGGATTCTCTCTGATCAGTGTATTTTTTTTGCCAACAGTCACTTAAGCAGATTTCCATGCCAGTAAGTGCTGAGTAGAGAGGTTGCTGTGGGTGTTGCAATTCTGCAGCATGGTAAATGTTCAGCTCAGCTTCATTTGAAATATGGATTACCAGTACCCAAAAGATGAAACTCTATGAGATCTCTCTGAAGTAAACGCTAGAAATGTGCATAACTGGACACAGCTGTATGCAACAAGCAATGTGGAATAAAAAGCTGGTGGGACGTCACATGCTGCTGGTGGCATGACACACAAAACGCCACATTTTTCATGCTCCACAACTTCCCCTCCTGGGAGGTTCCACTGGAATATCGGCAGCTGCCCACCCTCGCGAGGAGTTAGAAGCAGCAGAAAGCACGAATTTCCAAAGCAAGTATTTGTTAGAAATAACTGCTTCATAGGAGAAAAGGAAATGTAATGAGGAGGGAGAACTAAATTTTTGCATTGTTGAACGGAGGACCTACAAAGTCAGCACAGGACAGTAACAAAGATTCTCCAGAGTATTTTTGAAAACAGGCTGAATGCAGCTCGGTTAAAATAGGCTCGCTCACGCCCATCAATTTACAGTGACTTATTTATGCGAGTGACTTCAGACTTGAGCCGTGGGAGCAGTCTGAGTGAGGACACGTTACCTGCTTAGAGACACGTTTGGGGTTACATACACCGCGGAGGGCAGGCTTCCCAGCCGCCCTGCGAACTGCCCTGGGGAAGTTTGCAAGCGCCGGGCTGTCCCGGAGGCAGCCCCGGGCGGGGCCACACGGCGCTACCACCGCACCTGCGGCTGCCGGGCCCCGGCTCCGGGGCGGGGCGGGGTCGGCTCGGCCCCGCGGCCCCGCC